CTGTGACAAACTGTTTCGTCGGAGTTTCACCGACTCATCAGGAGGCTGAACCCTCAACAGTCTGCAGAATCCCCTCACTGATTACACTGTAAATGATAATCTACCTTAACCAAAATCAAAGTAGACTATCATATATATATACGATACATATACGATATATATACACACACACATATGTATATGTATATATATCGTCACAAACAGAACTGCCCGGTAAAACCGTAGGCAGAGAGAGAGAAGAGGAATACATATATACTGGGAAGGGACAAGGTAGGATCTGTTAAGAGGTAATGACAGCTTCCGTCCCGACTTCCGCCATCGCCGAAGCCACGTGGGCTTTTTTCTTCTTTTCCGTCTCGACGACCCGGTCGGGATCGAGATCCGCGCTCATCCAGCAATGCGGCATGTTCGCGTCGAGAAATTCCTCCCCGTAAGCAATGAAACCGAATTTCTCGTAGAAGGGAATGGCTTGCGTCTGCGCCGCGACCTCGACTTCCTTGTGGCCACGTGTCCGCGCCTCGTTCATCAGCAGCTGCAAGATCCCGCTCCCGACGCCCCGACCCCGCCATGACTTCACCACGGCCATGCGGCCGATCTTGCCGTCCGGCAACAGACGGCCTGTCCCGATCGGACGGTCGAGACCATCGCAGGCCAGCACGTGCACGCACCTCTCATCGACCCCATCCCATTCTTCGTCAGGCGCCACATTCTGTTCGACGACGAAGACCTCAGTGCGCACTCGTCGAAGAGGATCGCTCTCCTGCGGCCACGTGGCAAGTCGGACCGAAAACGTGTCCATCTTCTTGACGTCCACGTGGCAAGTCGGATCGCGTGCAGCGCGCCAACACCCACCGCTGTCCAGCAGAGCAGCACATCCCAGGGCCTGTATTTCAACCGTTCAAGGGTACCAAGTGAGGTACGACCGGTAGGCCAGCTGGTATTTCAACCGTTAAAGGGTTCCAACTGAGCTACGACCGGTAGGCCAGCTGGTCTTGGGGCCTCGCTCCACTACTCTAGAAATGTGGGATAAATCTTCCCCTGGTAACTTTTTTTTTTTCTTTTTTTCTCTCAATTTTTCCTCACACTACCTACCTACCACTACTCCTACTTATAGGCATACGGGGAAACCCGTAGCATACCAGAGCCGTGTTTTTACGGCCCCTCGAGCCTGCAGGATACCGGCCAGGGGACGGCCGGTAGCACCAGGGATAAAGCGGACCAATCCCCCGTGCCTCCCCTCAGGCCCCTCCCCTACGAACATAGCAGACTCTGCTTGATGCCGATCGGGGGATCCAGTGGTCTATCTCTTGGGTAGCGGGTGCCAAGTAAGCCCAGGAAGTCATGAGGGCAGTGGGGATTGAACCCATGACCTCCTGAATGCCACTTGGGTGACTTGCAAAGGTACACCGCCATTTTTTTTATTTTTTTTATTTTTCAAAAGTAAGATATATTCTTCTCTCAATCTATTTCATCAAGAGGGGATTGAACCCATGACCTCCTGAATGCCACTTGGGTAACTTGCAAAGGTACACCGCCATTTTTTTTATTTTTTTTATTTTTCAAAAGTAAGATATATTCTTCTCTCAATCTATTTCATCTTTCTTGGTAGCACGCATCTATCTTTCTTTCTTTCTTTTTTTTTTTTCTTTTTCTTTTTTTTTTTAATGTTGCCCGATGGACCACAGATCAGATACAGATACTACACTTGATCTTAGCCAAAAGGCCGAGAAAGGTATATTCACGCATCTATCTCATGCTCTCCCACACCGCCATATTTTTTGTCTTTTGTGCATGCCGAGAGTAGCAGAGCGAGGCCCATGGCCTCGGTTTTTGTGACGAGTTTTTCCCGTCGGTTTTTGGGCCTCGTTCAGTGCCACTACACTTGGACTTGAGTAGTGGGTTTTTTTTTTTTTTTTTTTTTTTTTTTTTGTCTCAACAAAATTCCATTATAAAAGGGTCAAATCGAGGCCCGGGGCTAATCGCTTCGTGCGCTAATCCCCTTCCCTTCAGAGAAGTTAGCGCAAATCGGGGCAATTAGGGTTAGGGTTAACGCGAAGACCTCCGTCCCTGGGCCTGGGAGAAGGCTCCTCTCATCATGTCCTGACTCCATGGCTGGTGGCATGTAGTCAAGCTATGCGGGGGAGTTTTTTCCTTGAGGTTTAGCTCATTGGAGCGCTGTCGACCGGGATGTACGGATACGCCCACATCATCTTGTAGCAACGAGGAGTTTTGGTGAAGATTGCTGCCGACGCGTCATTTAGTACCTCGTCAACACACCATGCTCCAAGAAAGGTATATTTCGGTATACATGTTCTCCTGGTGTTGGCTGAAGGCACGACTTAGATCGGCGCTGGCGACCTGCACTGTCCTTTGGTTTTTCAGTATTGTTAGTGGGTGGAGGTTAAATTTTAGTTGTAATTCTGATTTTGATGTTGCTTGTAGTATTATTTTAGGAAGTTTCTTCACGAAGGTATCAATGGCGGTTTCCTGCTCCCCCCCTGCGGGTCCTGTATCTGTGGAAGATAAGCTGAGAGTGAAAGAAATTTTGAATGAGTGTTATCTGAAAGGAATTCTTCCCAAAGATTTTGCTCCGGAAGTAGTCGAGACAGGCTCTGACTATGTAAGAGTTGTGGTCAACAAGGAGTTCTACGATGTCCAAGTTGAACGGTTAGCAGAACATTCAGTGACGATCCACTTCGGAGACGACTCCACTTCCCTACCAGTCAAGGTAAGAAACAGATTAGTTCGAATCTACGAGGAGTGGGCAAAGTCCGGGATCTTCAACGCACCCCCTAAGAGAGGTATTTTTTGTAACGAAGGGGAAAATCTGGTCACTTATGTGGCCAGTGTGAAAAAGAGAGCACAGTGGATGCTACGAAAGAAGCAGGACTTAATAAAAACTAGATGACAAGACGTACTCGATTACATTTAAACCTTGGATGAACGAACAAGAACTCTACTATGATTGGAACGAATCACTGAAATTCAAATTCTTTTGGATTCGTGTGATCCAAGTCCCAATCTCAGCATTACCTCTCCTGAGAGGAGCAGTAGGGAAGGCCCCTATGGGAAGGTATTACGTGCTTTCCCAGCTTTTGCAGACCCAATCTCGCCTGACTTATGGAACGTCAGCTTTAATCTGGTGCCTTCTGCACGTATGGCGTATAAGAGAACACTGGTCATGAATTTGGGAGAGCATGGCTTCGTGGAACTCGATGTGACTTGCGCCAAAACACCATGGTGTGACGAACTATTTTCTGCAATCACAAGAGTTTCTGCACGAAGCGGCCTCAGGGGTTGCCGACTGGTTGGTCGGAGCGGGCATGCATAGATAGGGGTCGGCTGGACGAATTGCATGGATACCCTCGCTTCCTTCCTTTTGGCTTTTGGGACCAGGGCCGGGAAAGTCATGCGCACACGATTGAGTGACGCGCCTTAGCGAGCACGATAAATAACGGTTGCCATAGCTTCTTTCTTGTTCTGCTGTGGGAGATGGGAATTTTGGCGCAATTAGCGCGCCGGAATGTCGTTATTCAAATTTACAACGGATGGTGGGCTCTCGGAACTGTTTTCCCATCCTTTCGGAATTTCTTTTTGCAAATAGGATTTAGACTAGGAATTTAGGTACTTTGAAATCTTGTTGCGCCGCGCTTCTTGCTTGCGCACCTCTCACCGGAGTGGGGACTGGGCTCTGACTGTATCGCGCCCTTAATCCAGCGTGTAACTGTAATTTTTGGCGGGCGCGATTGTAGTTGTACTACTCCTTGATTCTCTCGTGTTTCCCCGCCTTCTCCCCCTTTGTCGTACATATCTCGTACTCCACTCTAATTGGCCTGAACAACTGCATGACTGGATCGATGCGTGGAGTGTGGCTGCGTCCCCCGCACCGCGGCTTGGCCATGCAGGCGTAGGCACTTCCTTCTCTTTCCCTTCCCCTCACTTAGGCATAATTATGGGTTCCTCGCGCAAGCATGAACGCTATAAATTTCGCAAGCGTGATTAGTATGCTCTCTAAGAATTTGGAATAGCGCGGTCAGTGAGGATCGGCTAACGAGTAAGTGGGAAGATGAGCAGAATGAGTCGGGCGATCCGACAAGCTGGTGCCAGGCAGGCAGGGTTGACGTGCGGGCCACGACGGACTGTGACGCACGGGCGAACTTGGCTTGCGTGCTCGGACTAAGCGGGGTGACGACTCGGTGTTGGTGCGTGGCAACGGACTGCCCGCATCGGAGGTGATGTGGCATAGAGAGAGAGAGAGAGAGAGAGAGGTGTGTGTGTGGGTGATGCCTTCCTCTAACCCTCTGTATAAATTTTGATTTCAACCTTGGTCGAACTTGTTGTGACCGTGTCGGATCCCCTTGTGAATCCTCTTGGATTTTTGTTTATGGATCGACGGGCGGAGGTATGGAGTCTATGGACGGATAAAATATTATTAGCTAAATTAGCTGGCCAACCGTTGGACCATCTCACTAAGCACGACAGGCGTCGGGCTATCGAAAGGTCCCGAGATTATCGATGGATCAACCGACATCTAGAGAAGCGTAAAACAGACGGATCGGGATTATGGTTGACGGTTCCCCATTCCTTCCAGAGATATGACTGGACTAGATCGGCGCACGAGGAACAGGCCGCTCATTTCGCGATACGTGTCATCGAGGCAACTATTGATCAAAATCGATGGTTCTGGTCTAATATCCAGGATGATGTGAAGCATGTGGTTGCTAACTGTCTGGTCTATGCGACCGACCGTACACCCAGGCGTGGACCAAATACGATAGTCCCGCCAGAGGTAGAACGACCTTTTCAGCGGGTCAGTATGGATACGACAGATATTGACGGGCCACCTAGCCCCAACCACTGTGAGTATTTCATCCTCTTGGTATTAATCGATCATTTCTCGAAATATATCGAAGTCTACCCGTGTAAGACCCGTAAGGCCTCAGAGATAAACACATACATCGATCGATTCCTCAATACTCATCTAGATACGGAGGAGATTCTTACCGATAATGGATCCGAATTCAAGGTTGAGGTAAAGGAATTACTAATGCGTCGTGGCGTTACTCTCCAGCACACCGCTCCCCATGTTTCCTAGTCGAACGGGTTCGTTGAGAATGCAAACCGCATGATTAAGACCGCCCTCCATAAGAACTTGGCGGCTCGTGACACGCGTCCTTGGCCCGAGATCGTCTATCAGATCGTCGGGATCCATCGAGCGACCCCTCATGAATCCACGGGGTTCACCCCCTTCTAGCTTCGGACCAATAGCATTTCATGTGTCGATAATCGGGGTATCACAGAAATTGCCGAAAAAAGGGGCAGGGACACGCGTGCGGCCCTTAAGGCCAAAGCGAAGCAGTATGCGGACTTAATGGAAAGGGTCATTCCTAAGCTAGCCCAGAAAAGACAAAAAATTACCGAACTGGCCCACAGTAGACAGGTCCGTAGCTACGAGGCCCGGAATGGGAATGCGGGCCCACAATACCAATATAAGCTAGGGGATCTGGTGCAGGTACGCAAATGTGCACGCGACCGAAACTCACTCCCAAACTCTCTAGCTGCTTTCGCGTCGTAGAACTCGGCCCTAACAGAGCGAACACGGTGCGCATTGCGCTTGAGGCCATCGCCAACCATAACTCTCTTCCCATTGTCCACCACACCTCCTACCTTCGCCCCCGCCCTCCTTCTGAGAACCCCAATCCATCTCCTTCTTCTTCCTCCAACGCAGACAAGGAGCTTGCTTCCTTTCCTTCGTCTGGTTCTACCTCCCCCTCACCTTCGCCATGAGTTTTGTCATTGAGCCGGCTCTTCCACCCTAGCTTCTTCAACCTCGAACTTTGTTGCAATTTCGCCAAGTCGCGCACCCCTGTTTCAGTCCCGACCTTCTCCGATTTGCGCAGCTCTTCAGCCACGGGGCTTGGTGCACCGCCGTTGAGATAACTATATCGACCGATCGAGGCTCGACAGTCGTTTTGCTAGAGGCGTATGAATTTCATCGCTTCTCACGGCCTACTCAGAGCGACGTGACGGTAATCGTGGCTTTCAGTGGCGATCCGTGTACCATCGGCTTGCAGCGGAGCAATGCAATAGTGACCAGTCTTTACGAGTGGGGGCAGGAGTTGGCGGCTGATTGGCGGCAGCGGCTGGCCCAGCCAAGGCGACAAGTAGTGGGGACTGACTGTATTGACACCTTCTCCCTTTGGACCAGCGCCACTAATCGCCCCGCTCGCCCGCTCGCCCGCTTCCCCATCTCCATCCCTACCCCGAGTGTCGATGAATCGTTTCTCCACCTTCTCTCTCCTCTCCGACCTTCCGATCAATTGGCCATCCTGGGACGATCCCCTTCTCACTCTGGAAGTCCGTCCCGCCTCAACCCCTCCATTCAGTCCAGCTTACATCCGCAAGTGGGCTGAATTCGTGACAGTGAGTGTGTGCATGCTCACAGTAAAGTGTCATTGGTCGCGGTATTACAGCAATCGGGAGTTGGAGCACAGTCACGAGATTTCGTTGGTGCTGGCGCAGCTGTGGCCGAAAGAGACGATCACCGACGGCACGTTGGTAGGACTCTTGTGCGGGAAGATCGATAAGGGCAGGCGAGCAACAATCGCCTACGAGCTTCTCACGTTCTTGTCTCAGCTCGTCGACGACCTGCCGACAGACATCATTTCCTACAATCCGAGCGATCCAATCCAGGTTGAACCTGTGACTCTGGAAAGGAAGTTGACGCCAACCGTAATCTGGGCGAATTGCACAAAGGATTACGGGCAGTATCTAAGCGATCACGATCCTACGTTTTGGTGCTACTTGGACCTGGACGAACTTGTGCTGGATAACTCCGACTTCGACGAGTTTTGGAAGGCCCATCGGGAGAACGGGGAACTGCCGTCGGACGACGACCCGGGTCGCATAGCCATCGTCGGGCTAGCACATGAAGAGGAGTCGGAAGCACAGTCGGCGTCAAAGGAAGAAGAAGAGGCGTCAGCACCCGAGCCCCGAGAGGCTCCTCCAGCATGAGCATCGCCTATCATCCGGGGGGGATCCGCGTTGAATCCCGCCAATCCCTCAGACGCCACTAGTCGACACAATGGCGCAACAACCTCCCGTCGGTGCCGCCGCTCTCGCTCACCATCTCCCTCCGCTTCCGCCCCCTCCACGCTTCGTCCCCGTCCTCCTCCCAGCGTACCGTCCTTGTCTCGTCTTCCGCCGCCCCCTTGATTACCTCTCCTTCCGTCCCCTCCCCCACCTTGAATTCCCTCTGGACTATCGCATCTTTGCCAGCCGCGCATTTTATCATCATTTCGTCGCGCGACTCTTGTGTACGGTTTTTCCTCATCGCTCCCCCTCTTTTCACCTCAACGTTCCCCTCTTTAGCGTCGCCTGGGTACAATTCAACCATATGGAGTTGTACTGTATCATCTCTGACACCTTTCCCGCCGTGGAAGACTGTGAGTCCCTAAGGGATAATGTCCTCTGCACCATCCCCTTCTTATATCCCGACTACCTATTATCCCTGTCCCGACCCAATCATCGATTCCCCCGCGTACACCGGATCGTACACTTCGTTGATCTCGGCGACGAAGCGGTGGATTACTTCCCTCCGCTCCCATCTGAGTGGCCCCGACCTCTCCACCACCCTCTCCTTGTCGACTACCGGTGGGTGGACTTCCAACGACGGGGCAGGGGTGCAGAGCACACGGAGAATCAGCGGACGACGATGGCATCACCTGGACAATCTCTGGCGATCGAGAAGGCAAGGGGATTCCAGCAGCTCGAGCCAGTAGACTCGAGAAGATATTGCAATTGACGTTGGCATCAACATGAACTCTGATTTAACTATCTGTGCTGATGCGGACAATTTCTCTCCTGATACGCTTGGTTCCTCATTCGTCCTCTCTTCCCCCTCCCTCCTCCTCCGTCATGGCATGCAATCAGGAGATCGCATAATTTTGGAACCCCCTGCGCATCACATATGTGACGAACCAGTTTCCGGACCTTCGCCATCTTTAGGACCCGTTCCCTTGCCATGTTTTCTCTGCATCTAGATGTGTCTTCATCGGCCCACGAAACCCCCCCCTTGTTTTTGTTCGATTAAAGGTACCTCGTTGAAATCTGTATGTTTGTCAACACTAGTAGTTCTTGAAATTCTGTCATTTTTTCTAATTTGGAAATGCATGGGAATTACGCGCGCCTTAGTGAGTGCGCTCGGAATTTGGCTCGACAGTTAGGAATTCCGGAATTAACGGAATGCGGCGTGTCCTTTCGCTCGTGAATGTTCTCGGCCTCGACATGGAAAACTCTGGGAATTTTGTAGGAATATGGATGGGCGTAGGACTTTCTTTCTTTTCCCGCGTCTACTTTTCGCGCGGATATGGTGATTTCAATTTTTGAATTAGCGTAGGGCTGGGAAAAACTGCAACTGTTTCGGTGCCCATTCTTCTTTTGTTGTTCGACACCACTCAAACGAGCTCCCTCCTCCTTCCTTCTCGCGCTCCTCTCAGCGCCTTCCCTCGCGCGCACATGCTTTTTCGCTCCCCCCCCCTTTGTAACTGTTTTTCTCTCTCCTTCCCCGCGCGCGCCCTTTTTCTCTTTCTTGATCATCTGAATCTTGGATCCATTTCGCGCTATCCTTCGCACTCTTCTTCTTCCCGCTCTAAAACCCGCGTTCGAAAACCCGGTCGATCCTCTCTTCCCATCTAGCCAAGGAGAAGCGCCGTGTAAGAGGAGATTCCTACTGTGCGATGATCTGATTGGCCGAGATCTGATTGTGAGGGATCAACATGGCTTTCAACGGGCGATTACCCTCAAGCCCTCCCTTACCCTCCTCTGCCCTGCTCTTCGTCTTTCCCCGCATCTATCTCCCCTCTCGCAACTATAAACTCTGTCGGCGCATCCGCAAAATCTCTCTCTCTCAACTCGTCAGCCAGCTTCCGGGAAGCAGTGGCTAGATGATGTGCGTGTGGTGCGAGTCGAAAAGTCTCGCCAGGCTGACTGTAGACTCGGACTGGCTGGCTGTGCGCCTGATCGCCACGACGGACTATGGGATCGGGGCAAGCCCGCGCAGAAACTAAGTCGGTGGGGTGAAGATCGCAATGGTGGCAGGTGGCACGCGACGGCCGGGATCGTCGGTGCACGTATGAGGATAGTGATCAGAGTTGGGTGGATGAATGGCCCGGGGCCATGACGGATCTTTACGGTGGATGCGCCTCCTTGTTTCAAGTCTATTCTTTGGTGTGAGTGTAACTTCACGGCAGTTAAGCCGATAAGTTTTTTTTTCATCTCCGAACTTTTGTACGATTGTCCTCTATTAAATCCATTTCGCACTTTTTCTCCCCACTTATCTTATGATGCAAATTACCATGTATGTTTGTCGTGGAATGGTTGTTTGATGGGCCGGCGCTTTGATTAGTCTCGGATGACGGGGCAGGGGCGCAAAACACACGGAGAACTGAATAATGTGTGGCTGCCATTTTCGCACCTTCCGCGATGAGTCACCACAAATGAAGATTGTCGTTGATGGACTGGTCTTTGATTAGGTTGAAGAGTTATTGCAATAGGATGCATGCGAATGATTGAATTGTTGACGAGGACAATGTTGTTGGGATTTTGTTCGAGAATGCAAGAGTGTTTAGATTTGTCGACGATGTGATTTGAAATGCCTTGCGCACAACCTGACAGGCGATCTGTCTTCCCAGAGAGAAGAAGGGCGACACGTGCGACGTGCATGCGCGGATCACCGACCGTGTCCCACCTGATGTGCGTACTGTCCCCACGATTCCTGTATGAAAATTTCTTGGCGAAACCATAGACCATTGCAAACGCTCTCTCTCTCTCTCCCTCTCTCTCTCATTTTGAGAAACAAAGGAATGCTCCCACCTTGCTTCGCATGTTTCAGATAAATAAAGGCGATAATCGGAAAAGTCTGATCGATAAACGGAGGATTAAAGATGAATGACTGATACCGACTCTTGCGATTAAAGGCCTCACTCCGACTGGGCGCCGGCCTCCCGTACTCCCGCCACGTCCCTTCCCGTATAACGAGAGAAGGACACGTGTATGTGAGTGTGACGTACGAGAAGTCGTCGCCAAGATCAGCAGCCGATATTATTTCCCTCCCGAAACTCGATGCTCAGGATTTGTCGGAGCGGGCTTTGTCATCATTGATACGCATTTTCCGCCTTATTCGTTGTTGTTACCATTCAACGAATTGATTGTCATTCCGAGGATGGCAGTGGCGCCCCATTGGCCTAACACCCTGTGCAGCGACTGTTGTCGCCTCGAGCGTTACCAATCAAAAGGCTTCCACTACCGTGTACGGAGTGAGGACGAACACAAGGAACGAACTACGCAGTTGAGACCCTCCACGTCAGACTCTGAGTTGTGCAATGAGCGGTGTCGGGACTTGATCCGAAAACGAGACACCAAATGTGTACCCGCCCCCTTTCACGCGAAGCGAAGGGCAACGGCCCACTGGGAAGTTCAACGATACTTTTTGGATTGAATTTCCCCGCGCCGAACGTCCCGCGCGCGCCTTTCTCTCCCTTGACATCCGCGTAGTGACGGACCCTCCCCTCTTACCAAGTCAGACCAGCACGGGGGACTTCGGTTCTGTTCGTGTCCCCACACTCAATTTCCAAAAATCCTTGGCACACCCCATCTCGCTGTCATTCCAGGGGCCCCTTCTGCAACCAAAAACACTCCGAACGGAAGATAGCGCAGGGCGTGAGGTTGCGCGTCACACGACCACGTGACCCTCTCTCATGACCGCCGCCTTGTTGTCCCCGGAAACTACCCGTCGGTGCCAGCCAAACGCACCCTTGTGATGTGCGCAACGATGCCCTATATACCTCTTCAGCAGGTCCACAACATTCTCCATATGGAAACCCACCGCTAAACGACTGTGTACCGCGCGCGGAGCGGGAGCGTGGCCAGTTGGGGAGCGGGGAGAAGGGCAGGGAACAAGGCCCGGTGTTGAGAAAAAACTTTTGTACATTTGGCACATATACCAGTCCCACCGTTCAGATGGAGACGACCAGGGCCTTGTTCATTAACGAAAAGGACGCTTGCTTCATTCACATTTTTACCCGAATGGGAAACACCAGATGTTGGTCACATGCCTCCTCGACCGAGCGGACCCGCCGGGAGCATGCTCAAAGCAAGCCAATGGCTTGGGATAATGTACCAGAGCAAACCATATACAGCAGAAGCCATGTTTTGTTTCTATTTCGAGGGGCTCTTTTGAATTAAAAAAAAGGACAAAAAAGAACCGGTGAAAAGCGGGCTAGCTATATGTCAGGGAGCATTTGAAATCTCAGGACGTTTGCATTGATTTGCTCCGAGTGTATAGCAGAAGACATGTTGTGTTTGTCGTCGAAGCGGTTGTTCGGGTTGTTGGCCTGATTATGTATGCGTCCGGTACGGTACGGTTCCAATGCATATCAAAACATGTATACATATAGCGCTCTTGGGGAGCAAGTTGGAGGGGTTTTTTTTTTTTTTTTTTTTTTTTCAAATGGTCCGATGGACAACGGATCAGATATTAAACTGCATATCCCAGAATGAATCTGGTCACGGATGAATCTCCCCAAGTGGTCGTTTTTCATCTGTATTTCTTCTTTTTCTTTTGCTTTTTTGGTTTTTTTTTTTTTTTTTTTTTTTTCAAATGGTCCGATGGACAACGGATCAGATATTAAACTGATAAGAACAGAAACTACACTTGATCTTAGCCAAAAGGCCGAGAAAGGTATAGTTGGAGGTTTTTAAGGTAGCCTGTTAGGTGCTTTTTTTTTAGCAGGGCAGTAATGATTTAGAGAGATTGGTTCAGAAACCACATGACGCTCGTATGTGTGTGTGTGTGGGGGGGGGGGAGCTCCACACCCCCTCCCCACACCCCTTCCCCCCCCTGCGCGGCGCGTTTCAGGTATAAGTATGACAGAGGGCATAGCAAACCACATAAAAGAACATAGTGTAGATGGCATGACGTAATATAAATTGGTCCAAGCGTACCTATAATGACTGCACTTGTTCTGGGTGGTGGCAGGGTGGCGTACAAGGCAATTCGTAGTGGCAAGGCTTCATCAGGTGCTGTTTTTTTTGGCAGGGAGGCAATGGTTCAGACAGATGGATTCAAAAAAAGCATGATGCTCTTTTTTTTTTTTTTTGGGGGGGGGCCTCCGCCCCCTCCTCCCCACACCCCTCCCCCTCCTGCATGTTTCAGGTATAAGTATCGTGTAGAGCTTAGCAAACCACATAAGAGAACATAGTGTAGATGGCATGATAGCTATAATGATTGTAAGGGGAAGACTGGTAGCAGAAAGCTGTTGCGGACGAAGGGGTCCCCTGTGCGAGCATGCCTTGATGGCGGTAGACTCTTTTCTTTTTCTTTTTTTAATTTTTTTAATTTTACAGCAAGAGCAGTTTAATGCCCCTTTACATATTTTTGCTGGCAATTCAAAACATTCAATCGATGAACCATACAGGTCGACTTGAACCATACACACAGAAACACCGTAATTTGGCAGTGAAAGGATTTCACACAGTCATTCCTTTTAAGTCCCGGTCCCAAGGTCCCATCGAGTCCCGGACCAGGTTAGCCCAGTAGGATAATCAGTCTTAGGGTCTGTAGGTCGAAGCCTTGTAGGCCGGTTACCGAAACGTCGCAGGTTGGTAAAAGTTTGCCGTCACCTGCAGAGAACTAATAAAAAAAAAATGTAATTCCGGGTGAGAAGAGAGCATGAAATTTATGAACAAATTTGCTGGAGCGGAACTATCTACTTTATTAGAACAAAGAATTACAAATTATTACACCAAATGGATGAAATCGGTCGAGCGGTTTCAGTAAGAGATGGAATTGCACGTGTTTATGGATTGAACAAGATTCAAAAGTCAAGTCCCAAGTCCAATTTTGCAGCAGCGTCCCAACAAAGTCCGCAGACTTCGGGAACCACAATTTTTGGCAACTTGAAGGCAGAGGCAGCAGCCGACCGACCGCTCCGAAGCAGGCAAAGAATAGTCGACTGCAGCTATATTTAGCTGCTACAGTGCCACGCCGGTTCAGTTGTTCATCCGCAGAGTTGCAAAAGCGCTGCTAGTTACTTGTGCAATAGTGAGACCTGGACGAAGGGCAAGTGCCGGGAGAGACGGCAAGTGCCCTGGCGGCGATAGTCAACCATAGCCAGGCTAGTAGGGAGGAGGAAGACAGTGGCCATAGCCGCCCATGTTCAAGTGGTACATCACAGTGACATTCAGGGTAGATATAGGACAGAGGGAGAGTGAGCGCATGCGGTGAGGATGAGCGATACAAGACACGAGCGGTGAGGGACATTCAGCGAAAGAGGGCAAGGGAGAGGGAGGGAGAGAGAGGGAGTCAAACAGTGAGAGGGGGAGTTGGGTACATACCTGAGGCGTGCTTGATGCTGTTGCAGACCACTGATTACCTGAACTCTTCAATTGTATACTATCATAATTTTGAGTGGAATTTCCATTGCCGCTGTTTCATGTGTCAGCTCTCAAAGTGTGGTGTGAACTTCCATCTGAACGTTCCCTACTTGCATTTTGCGTTCTGAGTAGAGTTTTGCGATGTTCATTGCCGCAGACTGCTTGAGCCCACAGTGCAGCATTGCAGATCTTTTGTGAAACAACATACCAATCAATGAAATTATCACATACGACGAGACATGCAGAAGCAATTAGGCAGAATAAATCTAGTCTATAGATTTCAGTCTGCATACGTCAAAAGTAAAGTGTGAGGGTGTGTCTTTCAAAAAAAAAAAAAAAAAAAGTAAACCATAAAGGGCACACCACAGGCAGATCGTTCATGTTCAGCAGTCCATGGTTGTGCCGACTCACTGGCCTTTTTCGTATGTTCGTATGTGGATTACTCCACAAGAAATGGGGGTGCAGGAAAAGCATGATGCCCGTTTTGGGGAGGGCGGGCTCTTCCCCCCCCCTCCCCACACCCCTTTCCCCCCCCTGCATGTATCAGGTACAAGCATGGGAGAGATTTTCATTTCGCAAAAAACACAGCGGTACTGTCAGGAACGCATGTTATGAACGTACAGTCAAACAGTGACCGAGATATTGATTTGAGATAGCGTAACAGAAGAGACCTGTTTCTTGTTTCTGTACCTGATATGGTCTGGGTGGTGCTGTTTTGTGTTGTCCAGTATAGTATGGAAGATTGGCTTGGAATACAAGTGTCATTTGGCCTCTTGCATTTCAAAGTTGTATACATAGACGTGGAGGGCATCGTCAACTTTTATCGAGTCGGACCCGTTAAGGTGGTAGTGTTCACAACTTCACATGCTCTATGTGGTCGTCTGTGGTAGCCTTTGTTGTAGATGTGTCCTCGGTGCAATTTGTGCTTTCATCATGTCACTGCTGCGGTACATTTGTCTGTAATACTGGTCTTTTGCTACGTTTATGCTCTGTGCACTCTGTTTCTACTCAGTTCCTTCGTGTGTGCTCTTTGCAAACACTTGCCTCTCTGCGTTCAGTTGTTGCCTCTTCTGCACTATGCCCCGTTGCTGGTTTTCTGTGCTGTGCCTGACGGCAATCGCCTGCAGAAATTGGCAGAAAAAGTCATGGTGCGAGTCTGCTGCCCTGGGCTTCAATAAAGCTACCCCCCCCCCCTCCCCCCTCTTCCCCCCCTCCTCTCCTCCTTATGGTAGCTTTGCTGAAGCTTAGGGCAGACTCAGACTCGGAGCAGGACTTTTCCTGGAAATTTCTGAAGCTGATTGTAGGCTTTTTTTGTAGCCAGATTCATTGAGCCCTGCCATAACTGCAGTCAGATGGCAGAAGTGTGAACTGTTGAAATACAGACCTGAGTACAAAGTCATCTTCTTTTTTTCTGCCAAAATTTCTGAAGGTGATTGCCTTCAAATTCATCTAGGAACAAGGGCGTTGCCGCACGGCACACGAAACAGAAAACGAAACGAATGTATCTTCCCCCAGAAAATGGCCAGGTTCATCGGTTTGCTATAAATAGTAACGAGTGTATTTTGCCCCTTTCGTGGGCAGATGCACTCGTTTCGTTTTCGATTCGTGTGCGGTGCGGCGAGATCCCAAAGCAAGTCCCGTGGGTGGTTTGGTCCATCCCCATTCATTTTTCGTCCGCCACGTCTCAGATTCCATGCACGTGGAGTTGAAGAGTCATTTGCTACTCGCTCACTCATTCCCGATAGGAACCCAATACAGATATAGCGACCCAATACAGATATAACGACAGTGCATTCTATTTCGGTTCCTCATGTCATTGGATCTAATAGTGTTATATGTGATGCGTAATGGGATGCTGGACCGGGTTCCTAGCAGGTGATGCTCCCCACCAATAGAATGGAGCCAACGGCGAGGGTACTACCAGGGATTGCTCACATTACCCCTGGCAGTAACCGGAGCCTTGTTTCAAAAAAAAAAAAAAAAAAAAAAAAAAAATAGTGTTGTCGAGCATTTGCAAACCAATGAGGT